ATTTTTTGGCAAAGTGCGAGTGCAAAATGCAACACAACATGCTTGCCACAACAAAAATCTGGCACGCTGAAGAAAAGGCCTTAACATCTCACCCGGACGAAGTTTTTTCACTGTAGGGCAGAACCACCCTCCAAACCACAAACGTTACCTTTCTATGGAAATGTCCGAAATTCAGTGGCAACATTTGTGAAACTTGACAAAGCTGGGCAGCCCGAAGGCAAGGCAGTGCGACAGCCAATGCTCTTTGTTGCAGGCTCCTCCGTCAGCACAGGCGGCACCTCTGCTCAGGCCTTGGGGGAGCGGTGCATCGAGCCGGTTGTGCGCAGAGTTTTGGCACCTTTGGTGTTGTTAAGGCTTGCATCGCTTGCGCTTCCTGTGCAACACAGAGGACTACCGCGCAGGCCTCGGAAGCTGGCGTAAGCATTGCGGTTGCAAGCACTTGCGGCAAGTCTTTATGTGTAAGATGTGTAAGGACGCCACCTGACATGAGCAGCGGAGAGGCTGGTGCCCGAGTGACGTTAAGTGCAGGTCATGTCGCGCAAGACCACCAATAGTTGAAATTACTGCAAGACCGTTACCAGTGTCCGAAAGGCCATCAAAGCAAATATACTGCAGCAGCTTGTAAATCTCTGTGGATTACAGATTGGGGACGGAAGGGTATTTTTCTCAGGAGCTGGAAGACATTGGCGAATTGGAGGCCACGCCCGAGTAGCCGGAGACGTTTGGATCACAAAATGTTTGGGTTATTCGTCGCCAGGAGCGATATCCGTATGATGTCTACCTCTACATGTATGACATCACAGACGGCTGGGCTTGCCGGTATTCGCCGCTTTTTTGCTTGGCCAACGCCTTCGAGCCAGCTGCTCAGTCCCGATCGGCGGAGCGTCATCGGCCCTTCCAGTGCTCAGGCCCTGTATCATACCGGGATTGTGGTGCGATGTCTCGATGGCGATCTGGAGTACTGGTTCGGTGGTCGCATCCAGACAAAGTCAGCGGGGCCAGGGACCTATGTCTTTTTGGACTTGCTTGCCATAGTGACATAATTACTGTTCACTTTGATGTTCGAGGCGCACACCTTATGGTGAGCCGCTGGACAAAAGGCAGGCGTAGAGGGCCATGCACAGCATTGCAAGGTTGCATGAGACCACTGCCAGGTTCATGGGCACGAGAAGAGATTGGGGCCTTCCTGGAGCCCCCAGCCTGCACACAGCGTCGCCGTTGCAACTTACATGAAGTTTCTTCTTGGTGTCGTCGCATTTTGCTTGCAATTCCCAGCTCTTCGCCAGAGCCTGTCAGTGCTTGATGTTGGACATTCTTTCGACTGGTTTCTTTGTGAGCTTTTTCTAATTACTGCTTGCGATTGGGTGAGCATCGTGTGTGCGACTGGAGGCTTTCGTCCCCCACCTTTGTCCCGGACTCCTATGACATTGCCTTCCACAACTGCAATTCCTTCTCTGCGGCGATGTTGGAGTTTC